CCTTTTTCCACCTCAAAAAGGTATTTAAATCCACACCTTATGGAGTCTGAGTGCCCTTCTAATGGAGATCTGTAACACACACTTGCACCAGTGCATTACATCTGCCACTGAAAATTTTGCAATGTATAGTACAGCCAGTCTCTGCATGCAGAAGAGGCCTACTGTCTCCCAGCGGTGTCAGCTTCTGTGCATGCACTACACGGCAGATGCTCACTGGTAATGTTGCCGATTTCCCAATAGCTTCCAAAAAAGAAGAGTCAGCAAAAGGGGACATGATGAGCAATTCACACAGCTTTCTCCCACACAATCATTCTACTTAAACCCCAACAAAACAGGCTGCAGGCCAGAAAACTGTTCTGAAGATGTAGTACAACTCACATACCATCTTTCCCAGGGCCTTGTGGCCTCTCTTCTGGGAAATGATGTATTCTAGTCGCATAATGGAGGAGAAGTTTTTGTCCAGCTGGGAGATACAACAAAAAAGAACAGCCTGCTGCTAATATTAGAATAATTTATCAGGTCTAGAGTCTGTTTCCTGCATGTTGCCAAAGACCTCTAGGAAACAGGGAAATCAGGAATGTTTGTTGAACCAGAGGAAATGCACTGAAAGCACTGCAGATTGGACACCCTTTCATTAAAGCACTCAGAGACTTATCAGAAGAGCAGTATAGACTATATAAGGGGTAGACTACCAGACATCGAGTTATTGTCTCATCCTACAGGCAAAGGCAATCTCCACTAAATTCTGTTTATTTCCTCTTGTTATAAAATGTAAATATATCACCATCCAATCTTTCAGGGGTGTTACAATGATTAAGTAATTAACATTTGGAAAGCTCTTGAGGAAAAAAGAAATTCTAGAGGTTAGAAGAAAAGTTATTAAAGTAAACAGAAATCAGGTATTTCCTGATAGCAATAGTTAAAAAATATACTACTACTTAAAGAGCATTTCTATCTTTAAAGATTCTGGTTTGTTACTGCATAGCAAGAATTACACGTAATAAACATGAGGCAGACAATCACTGAACTTTCACTTAAGATTTCTACACTGAGCAAAAAAACCACTATCACTGTGAAGCCAGCTCTGAAGAAAAGAAGAGATGGTTTTACAAGTCCTGATGCTGCAAACACTTAAGTTTAGCTCAGATATATGATTATTTGCATTGAAATCATGGAGGCTTTTCAGAATCATACAGACTGGCATATGCGTCAACATACCTGTAGGAAACGGACTTCAGTTATCACCACTTTTCACTTCAGCCACACCTGTGTGAGCTTCCTGGGTACACTCATCTTTGGAGTGGTGCTTCATAGTTAACTATTGTGTAGCATGTATTAACATATGGTAACATTTTTAATATTGTGAGCATGCATAAAGATTGGACGACAACAAGAAGAGGTGATTGAGCATTATGACTACTTATCAATATTGTGTAAAACAATACAGAATTTCTTTTTCATCTTCCTTATAAAAAGCTCAAGAATGTATATTTAAGTTCAAGTGTGCTACAAAAAATCTTATGCTTTTACCATGTGTATGTTTATGCATAGCAATATGTTTAAACAATTATATTCTTACACTTAATCAAAAAATTGATTTTTTAAAACCAAATGAGTCATTCTTTAGTGACTGTTCAATCAATATTCCCGTCAATTTCAGGGAAAATACAGTTCAGTCCTCTCCAATGGACATCAGTGAGATACTGAAGGAATAACATGATTTTTAAAGTCTCAGTGGACTTCAGCCATTTGCGAAAGACAGCTTAAGCCCAAATGTCATGGAATTCCAAAAGGACTGCAGAGTTTCACAAAAAACTACTTCAGCACCCGATTAGATTTACAAAACACAATGCTTGACATTACGACGTATGCAAAATGAGCCGCTTGATATCATTTTCAGTCACAGACCTCAATTGCACTACCCTTTTACGTTTACAAATACATGTGATTTTACAGTTACAGTTCTCAGCTTTTAAAAGTCAGGAAGATCCCTTCCACTGTGATGTTATCTGCCAGTAATCCATTTCAGCCACCTGCGTAACTGAACACACTTAGAAAGTTACCAGTGTGTTAACAGCCCTCCTATGCACCTTATGTTATACATAAAGAGTGATAAGTGAAATCAGAATGTAGCCCCATAATATTCTTTTTTATCTTTGCGCATATATTTCTTTTGAAATGGATTCTTCAGAAGTATAACAGCTTAATTGTTTCTTCTATTTGGAATGTTTCATTCTAGCTAAACCTTCATTGACAATTCTGACGTGAGTACTAGGAGGTTTTTTTTTAAAAGAAAATATACCAACAGTCAGTTTCATGCTTTTAATACCTAAACAAATCAATCAAACTCTGAAAAAGATTCTCTTGAACACACATAAAGATGGAAGTTTGTGTTCTGCAAGAACCTGCATTATAAGTAGGGTACGCAGTAAAATCATCTGCTATGAATAGTAGAATTTGTTTTCCCAGAATCCAGACTTAGGAGCGTGAGGTTTTGTAATTTTTTTAAGAAAGGGCTGAATAAGCAACGAATACTGAACTCTAAAGGGAACAAGTCAAGTAGCTATATGCAACAATGCCCTGCAATTCAGTGATGGCAGAAAGCCATGATTTGAAATTAGTTATACTGCATATAAGCAGTGTAAAAAGCATCAAAGCAGTTAATGGATTAATGCAGTACATAATAAAAAAAAAAAATCAATCCCAGTATCATACAGTTACTGATCTGGAAAATATAGCAATGAAAAATACCTATGTTTGCCAATAGAAACTTAAGTTCTTTACGTTACCTTCAAAAAAAACCAAAACACCCTTCCTATGTAACACTTCCTCATATCCTCAAGTTTTGAGCAGTTCTGCAGGATGTAACCTAACCACTGTATCAGATATAAACCACATACTGTCAGCAAATTGCAAAATGAGAATTAAAATAAAAGCCAGTCTTTCAGAAGCACAGCACTTTCAACACGAAGATGTGCATACTGAACTTTCTATCAGTGGTAGTAACTGTAACATGGCTATATTATAATCACTATAACCATGGCTATTCATCAAATATGCCATGATTTTGCTTCAGAATCTCAGAATCGCTTATATAATGCTCTACCCGAACCAGAGGTCCTGTTTGTGACCTCTCCTAGTTTTAAGTTGATTCTGCATAAACTTTGCCAGTTTTGATGAAATGCATGATAGAAAAATGTTCCAGGTTTTGCACAGCACAAAACTAGAATGGATTCTTACAATGGAGTCCTTATTAAAAAAAACAAAACATTTGTTTGTACACAGATAATATTCTGCCCAAACATCAAGACACTAGAAAATAAAATTTCCTTTATACTGTCTTTCTGGTTCTGGATACCTTGAGGGATTCAAATGTCTAGAAGGAAAGACCTACACACCTATTGGATATCTTTTCCTCACTATCTCCACAGAAGTTAACAAAAGATTCTATTCTGTATGTGATACATAATGAGGCCAATAAAATCACACACGCACTCTCACACACACACACTTACCTACTGTACCTTCCAGATGCCACAGAATACTACCTTAGGAGTCCTGTGGTTTATGCCAGTACAAGACACCCATTCAGCTTGTTTTTTATGTCACACTGATAAAGTTGGAAAGATCTGTAAATTGCAGGAGGAAATAAGGAGATAACGCAGCTACAGACTAATTATGGCCTTCACTGGAATCCATGGATTAGTTCTGGAAATACCAACTGATTCCATGAAGACTGCAAGCCCACAGTCACAAACAGTGTGACTTCCTTCAAACACAAAGAACTAATTGACCCACTGTGACACCTGAGTGACCCAGGTGTCATTATCTCTTCTTTTCCGTAAAAACAAATGCATGCATCAAACTTAAAACTACTGTAAGAAAGAAAGTATGTATTAATTCACAATTATTTAAGCATAACAAAAAACTATTTTTTACCATGAGCATGGTCAAGCACTGGAACAGGTTGCCCAGAGACATCGTAGAGTCTCCATCTTTGGAGAAAGTCAAAACCCAACTGAACAATGTTCAGAGCAACCTGCTCTAGCTGATTGTTTTGAGCAAGGGGTTGGACTAGACATCTCCAGCAGTCCCCTCCAACCCCAACTATTCTGTGATTCTATGAAGACTGTAGTAAGGAAGCAACAGAAATATAACAGAAACAGAGAGAGCACCATGTGTTTTTCTGATTTTTAGATTAAGGTCCAACCTGAAACAAATAATTTGTGATAGAATTCATAAATGTAAGAATGCTGAGCTATCCTGAGATTGTGTATTTCCTGTGCTTTGATCCCACATAAGATTCTATACAGCAAAAACTGGGGAAAAAAAAATATTGAAATCCATGACTACCTTTTAAGCATCTTACATTGAAGCTTTTAAAAACGGCAGAAAAGAGATTGTCAATTAACTTTCTTCAACAATTTCCCTCCTTTCACAACTAGTAATTCTAGGAAAGGGAGAAAGCAGTGAGCATAGAGCCTTCTAGAGTGCAATTTAACAATACAGTCTACTGGAAAATTACAATCAAATCCTCTGGAGAGGTTACAAATTCACATTGCGTAAGCTATTTGTAGCTAGTAAGTTTCAAATAAAACCCACTGAAGTTAGAACTGTGATACAGCTAAGAAAAAGAAGAACCAGATGAAAGCCAGTGAAGCTGATTCTGCTCCTTGTACATAAATACATTCTCCAAGTAGAACCTGCAAGTGATTTATGTAGGAAATCAAATTAATTACTTTAAGCACCTGAAGCGTTTGATATTTCATGGGATTTTGATGCAGCTAGCAGTTTATTCACATACATATACAGTCCTCATTACATTCACTCCTGAAAGTTGCAAGTTAAACCCTATGAACCTTCACACAGCTGCTGGATACTTTAGCTTCAAACATAGGGAACAGATTCAAACTAATCTATGTTTGGTCGGGTATTACACTTTTTAGATTAATCTATAATAAAAAAAGTATCAGCAAATACACATAATTTTTTGAAGTTACCCAGCAGTTCCATTGCATCATCTTCATTGTCAATATCTTCTTCAGTTACAGATGGAGCTGTGCTTTGAGCAGAATCAAAGGAGTCCTGAGAAAGCATGGCAGCCAGCAGTTTCTTATGTTGCTGCTGTTGTTGTTTTAGTCCTTTGGTCTTTGGCTCCATTTTTAAGCTGAGAGAGAGGAAAGCACAACTTTCTCTTACTGATGCTCTCTACAAAATACATCACACATTTGTCAAATTACTGTAGCCCATGATGTCCTCCAGATCTGAAGATTAATGCCATCAGATCACACATAAACCGGCTGGGTTATCACTCATTCCCTGATCATTGGATGTTATAAGTCAGTTTGTGTTTTCAGTTCCTATCTAGAGTTTTGATTGAATGATGATGGGAAATTTCCCATTGCCTTTACGGGCATTAATCAAGTCTAAATAAGTCACATATACAGAACAACAGGATGTCAATTACTAATCATTATTGCTAAGGCATTGATCTCACAGCAGCAAAGCTGAGAACAAAGAACTGTTCCCTTGAGTGGTTATGTTATCACGACCCCACAGGATTAAGGACTACATAGTTATAACAATTCTGTTTGTTATAACTATGTTATAACATAGTTTGTTGATTCATGTCCCTAACCTAAGTAACAGACAACTGGAACTGCACAGAAGTTAGCAGAAGGGTCTAAGGCAGGACTTGCTACAGTTAGCAATTTCTGATTCCTTACAGTATCAAGACAAAGACAACGGGACAGAAGTTTGGTGCCCCACATGAGGGTATCAGCAACACCTCAGACTGTCTTACAGCCTGTTGCAGGAAGGCAGATCTGTTGCAAACGTATGAAATTTAGTATAATCAATGATAGTTCATTTCCCACTGCAAAGATGAACACTACTAAGACAAAGTGGACCTTGGAGATGAAGAACGGGCTTTGAGTTTAGGACATCAGGTTATGGAAGGGGCCTCTGTAACCTCTAGTTCATTTCGGGCTCTAAGAAACAAGAGCATCATATTAAAAATCACCCAGATTCCCCACTGTGTACATATATTATCCCTTGAGGAAGTTTCCCAAGAGCCTTGCTTCTTCTCAAAATTTCTCCAGGAAATTTTTCATGTAGAAAAGTACTAACAACGACTTGGAAATGAGTTTAATCCTATTTTCACGGTGTTCAAATTTCTGAAAGATTAGCTCAGTACCAGCAGGATTGCCATCAGCACTTTTATATGGTCCCTTATCACATATTAATACCTTACCTCGCTCTCTTACAGCAGCAACAGATAGCAGTACAAAACCAGTGACAAATACAGTCTTTCCTCTGTAGCAATCCAGAACATGAATGGCAAGAAGGTGACCCTTCATCAGTTTGACAAGACATCACTAATACAGCTACCTCAGACTGGCTACACTATCTTTCCCAGTCAAAACAGTACTGAAACCTGTCCTTTCAGTTGCTCAAAATTAATTCCCCCTCTTTTTTTAAGTAACTGGGCCCGGCTTTCAGATATACAACATGTGTGCTTCCGTTGCTCATCATCACAGGAATGTATGTTCTTAAGGAGGAAATAGTGATTCTTTCCCACTGTCCACTGCTGAATGCAGCAAAAAGTGAGGTTCGTGGTTGCAAAGACAGAAAAAGCAGACAACTCACAGATTCCCAAATACCATGTACTATGATCTGTTTTATGCTGAAAAGACCAATATTGAAAATGGGCGTGTTATCAACAGACCAGTGGTCCGTAGGAATATGCTGTTCTCTGCAGCCTATTCAGTCCTCTATAGGATGCTATGAATGTGTAAGGACCCAGGGCTTCCCCTTCCACCGAACAGGAAAAAAAACTTGTATGCTAAGGTCTGTGAAAACAACACAGAGGGAGTCAAATGATACTGATGGCAATTACTCTACCAGTGATCTGTCAATGACTAATCCTCTGGATATTTATACAGTATTTCATTTATGTAGCATTTCCTTATGTTTAGTGATAGGTAAAAGAAAACATATTACCTGGAAATAATGGGACAATTACAGTTTTCACTTTCCTGTTCTTATGCTGTAACTGAAGATTAGGATTAGTTTTGAGAGTTTGCTGGCTTATCACATAAATCCTGATAATTAGTGATCAATAAACTATCACTTTTTAATAAAAGTGTTGCTAAATCAAATTTGACAAGCTATAACTGAAAACATTTAATATGAATTTCAAATTGCTCCCTCTTTCAGTTGCCAGGTAGAAATGCAACTGAATTATTTTAGGTTACATTAACTATGAAGTAGATGAATGAAATACAGATGAGGTAGCCAAAAATTCTTTACAACTGATAAAAAATTCATTCTTTTAAGAGTTTCATTTAATCTCATAAAACCCATACTATTCCCACTACTTTTGGATGTACTAGGTATACGCTACATTAAAACTAAATTAGTATTACCTATTACTTGTCTCATGCACTTGGTGTATAGCCAATTCCAAATTCTTCTAACAGTACTTTAATTCCCAGTGACACTGAATCAGACCTTGAAGAAACCACCTGTTATTAGTGAACTTTTATTAAACATTCAGATTAACCTTGATCAATACAGATCTTTTAAACTTCCATATATAGGTGGCATCAATTTTAGTATCACCCCTATCTTGAAGTTCTGCAATTTATGATTATTTTGCAAGACTGCAAACAGGCTTTTTATAAATGCCTTACAAAAGCTGATGAAATGCTAATGAAGCAAAGAATTATCCCAGACATAAAATCAGTCATCCAAATGTAAACCCATATGCTGCATGTAATTTAGTAGTTATTCACTTCCACTGAAAATCTGTATTCCCACTTAACGATACATATTTTTCAACAGGTCTTCAGCACTTACTGCACCTAAAAACCAGAGATATCAGTGTCCCATGAGTCTTTCCTGGCATCAAGTACCCCATATTCTCCTTATTTCATTCGCCAGGCAACGTGAATTCGTCATGATACTCAACAAGACTTCGCAAATACTATTCTCAAAGCCATTAATCACATTTTTTAATTATAGCATTAGCTGTGAGGTTTCTCACAGCTTGTACCACCCTCTACAAAGAGAAAAATATGCTGCTTTGAATCATCTTTGTTACTCAGAACTAAACCTCTTTGCTCCCGTCTAGAGATCAGGGATGCTTATTTCTGCTCCTTCCTATTGAGAGAAGGGATACAATATCCTCAATTTGCTCTGCAACATGGAACGGATCTTTATTCAGTGTCTTTATTGGACTGCTGAATAAGGAAAAAGAAACCCAGGCCCTCACAATCAATCTGCAGTGGCAGTTGCTGACTCCATTACTTTCCCAGGAACTGCACTGGAGAGACCCAGTGTCTGAGTTCTGTTGGTTCCAGTCCAACGTCTGGCTGAGGGATCATTACTACATGCTGCTACTTCTTTGAAATAGTAGTACTTGCAGCTTCCCCCACAATAAGCTAATTAAAAGAAGAAAGAAGTGCTCATGGATAACAAACATTCCCAACATGTGAGGAAAGTTAATGAATACAGCCTGTAAGAGTACAGCAAGTGACAGACTGGTTTCCCTGTGACAGGGAGGTGAATTCCGATGTAGAAGGCACATGGAGGACATAGTGAAGGAATATTCACAGTTCAAACTGGGAGATGAGAGGCTGGAGAGCAGTCCCACGGAAAGAGATCTGGGGGTTTGGGTTAATGGCAAGTTGAATATGAGTTAACAGAGTGCCGTGGCAGCCAAAAGGGCCAGCCATGTCCTGGGGTGCACCAAGCACAGCATAGCCAGCCAGTCGAGGGAGGTGATTGTCTCACTCTACGCTGCAGTGGTGCAACCTCACCTCAAGTATTGCATGCAGTTCTAGGTCCCTCAATATAAGGACATCCAGCTATTAGAGTATGTCCAGAGGAGGGCAACCAAGATGGTGAAAGGTCTCGAGGGCAAGACTTATGAGGAGTGGCTGAGGTCACTTGGCTTGTTCAGCTTGGAGAATAGAAGGCTGAGGAGTGACCTTATTGCAGTCTACAGTTTCCTCAAGTGGGGCAGCTGAGGGGGAGGTGCTGATCTCCTCTCTTGGAAATGGAATGAAGCTGCATCAGGGGAAGTTCAGATTGGACATTAGGAAGATTCTTCACTGAGAGGGTGGTCGGCCACTGGAACAGGCTCCCCAGGGAAGTGGTCATGGCACCAAGCCTGTCAGAGTTTAAGGAGCGTCTGGACGATGCTCTTAGGCATATGGTTTAGTTTTAGGTAGTCCTGCAAGGAGCAGGGAGTTGAACTCGATGATCCTTATGGGTCCCTTCCAACTTGAGTTACTCTATGATTCTGTGACAATACCTTAGACCTTTTCAAAGGGAAAGCAAAGAGTTTCTGCCTTCTTAAAAGAGGAAGAAAAAGGTGTTTGCTTCAGTCAGAGTACTAGTTATAACCAAGGAGAAAGGCTACAGGGCTGAGGGAGAACCGTAGATGTTTAAGGCAATTAACAGAGGCAGTGCACAAGCTTTACACTTTAAAAAAAAAAAAAAAAAGCATGATTCCCTTTTAAAGAAAGTCTGTAAATACTTCACTTTCTGTGATAAACAGGTATCTTTAAATCACGGAAAATGGACTCCTTGGAAAAATGATAATCTCTTCCATGTAGCTGAAGCACATTAACAAACAAACATACTCCTCCACCCTCACTCAAGGGCAATAAATCATCAGAAGTTATTTACTGCAGAGAATACAATTTTCTCTTTGAGAAAGAATTGTTATTAACACCAGGATGCTAAGTATAAGAACTGAAGATGAATTTAGAAAGTCCTGTTAAAAATAACATAGATACTGTTTCCCTTGTCTATCTTTCCTTTAAATGAGAAAATCAGATTTATCACTAAAGTGTCAAGAAGATTAACAAACAGCTACTACCAAATGCTGAAAGACAGAAGGGTTTGAAGTATCTGAATGAAGCTATACATCACAAAATTATTACACAATAGGCCCCAATCTTGTCAACATACATATAGCTTTATACATGGGATTGCAAATGAGTATAAAGTTAATCATATATAAAAGCATGAGAAGAAACCAGTCACATATTAATAGCTTCCATTTATTCTGCATGCTGCCACACTATGGCGTGGGAATTTAAATGCCCTGCACTCTGCTCTCAGAAACGGGGCGTTACAAAGACAGATCCACTTCACAAATTATAAAATTTCTAGGCAGAACCAAAATCCCACCTTCCTCCAGGACTGCTGCTATCCTCGCTGTCCCACTGCTCATTTTTATTTCTTGGTATTGGTGGCTGCAGCATCTCAGCAGCCAGGGGGTCAGCATCATTCTCTTCACGACCAATCCATTCTCCAATCACACGAGGTCTGAGAATCGGGGTGTTAAAACCTGTTGTGTCCTGAAGAGAAATAAAAAAACCCAGAAACACTGCACTGCTTGTTCTCAACTACACATGTAAATAGGAAAGGAAAAGAAGAAATAGGAAATAACACTATTCATTAAAAAAGTACAAAAACAATACAGTACAGTACATTATCATTTCAGAGAGCTACAAAATACCCAGAAACAATCATGGACTAATGAAAAGATTCCCATTAACAAAATTCTAAGAGAGATTTGCCCACCCTGATGCCTCAAATCTCTCCTTTTTCTTACTTTTCAATAGCAACTGTAGAAATCTGGAGTATCGTCTTGAAAAATTATAATTTTTTTTAATAAACGCACAACTCAAAACCAGCACTGTGTCAGTTCTGCTAAGCAACAGATGAGGTCACTTGTATAATGAACACCCCAACCAAAAGACTGTTGTAGATTAATAGCATCACTCTTATTTGCATTATGAATTAATGCAAAACTAATAAATACATCTGCATTTGGCATTTTAAAAATAACCCTGCTGGAAATTACATAATGTATCTTTCAATTCTGAAAATGGTATTAACATTTTAATAAAACACATTTCTGAAACTAGTACTCATATTTTTAACCACCTACTGGAAGAAGATAGCTGGAGAGGATTACAAGAAGCAAGCAAAATCCAACTGGAACATTCAAAACAATAGCGATGATTTGCATCATTATATTAGGAATTTAGATTAAGGAAACAAATTGTCCTTAAAAATTGTATGAAAAAGCTGTTCTGAAGTGGTATCTCTGTTCTCAATGTTACTAGAACAGTTGTAGATAAAGGGTCATGTACGACAGTATAATCAAACTAAAAAACAAGCATGTATGCAAAAAAACAGACATCAAATGATGGGATAGGAATATTTATTTTGCTTTAATTAAACTCTCTTCTAGGCTAGCAAAGACATTTCAAATACAATGTTCCTAATTAGGAGACATATATTCTATTCCTACCCTTTAACAAGAGAAAATTTTAGGAAAACAAATCCTTGGCTGTTACCTAGCTCAGTGTCATAAAGCTAGCAAAGACATTTCAAATACAATGTTCCTAATTAGGAGACATATATTCTATTCCTACCCTTTAACAAGAGAAAATTTTAGGAAAACAAATCCTTGGCTGTTACCTAGCTCAGTGTCTCAATAAATATTCCTGCCATAAAACAATGCTTTCCAAACAAAGAGCATCTGGAAAAAGTACTGCACAGTCATTACTTAGCCTAGCAACCATATTTTCTCATCTTCCTAAATACAAACCATTTTTAAAGTCTCTTCCTAATTGACACAGATATGGTAAAAGCACAGTTTGAAGTAGAGGCCTCTGCTGAAATGAAACAAACGAACAAAAAAAGTCTGCAAACTGCTTTCATATGAATATATTTACCCTGCTCCGGCTAGACGCTGTAATTCTGCTCAGCAGAACCCCAAGAGCTTCCATTTTGACAGAGCCAAATATGACCCAGGCCTTGGATTAGACTCATTCCCCCTTGTTCTTTTGTTCTGCTTTCTGCAATGTGCCTGTGAGTGCATTACCACACTCCACCCTCCATACATCTGTCCAGAGTTCTCCATCACTTGACTAATTCACTTTTTACACAATGTCTGTTTTCTGTAAGGTTGACATGACACAGTAGGACCACTGAAAATGGAATGCAGCCAATACAGAAGAGAGAAATCTGAGGAAAACACCACAGCTTCAGAGGTTTTAGAATACCTAACCACTGGTGTCTTTCTTCTAAGTACTTACAAATACACATTTTGTGCATCTGTCTGGTGCTGTGTTATAGTCAGGTAATGCAAACTAGATGGCAGTGGCCTCTGGTCACTTGACAGGCGTAACCTGTCACAGGTGTGACTACCATCATATGCCTATGAGCTAGGAAAAAAGATTACTCCACTGCCCACAATGCCTTCATTACACAAGGTGCCTACAGTAGTTTAAGTAAGAACCATTTGGTCCCTTCTGAGGTTTATTCCTGCTACTCTAGCCATTTTCTCCCTTCCCTTTCTCCCTAGGATAATTTCTAATATTTAAAAAAGGGTAGTGGAGGTAGTTAAATTTGCAACAACTTGCAGTGTCAATCTTGCTAAAAGCTTTCAGTCCCTTAAGCGAAAATGAAAAGCACCTAAAAATTTGCCCTTTTTTCAGTACAAGTTTTTCCTGACACTGTCCACTGCACCATCAGCATATGAATAAGTAGACCATGAATGCCGTGTCTATCCTTGTTATGCTGATTTCTTTTCTAGACATTCTAGGGATTAAAGTACCACTTTCATACTCTACTTAATAGAAATGTAATTTACATTACATAGTCATGCTTTGCCTCACTTTATCACCTTGCTTTCCTTTTTGAATCTTGTTAGATTAGTACACCACAGTTTCGGTGACCTAATTTATTTTTCTCCTTTCAACTATATAAGCAGCCACAGTGAAAACAGTAAATGGAGAATCAGAGACGGCTCTATTGAGAACACCAGTACGTTTATTTGGCACCTTACTTCAAAAGCTTCAATAAATTCAGAAGAAGTATTCTGTTCTTAAACAAGTTTTTATAGGGCTTTTTTTAATATATAAACCTTAGAATCGTAACTGATTTCCAATTTATATTCCCTCATAAATAACAGAAGAGATTGACAGTGACATTAGTGTACACAGAGTATTTTCAGGACAGGTAGGTATTTAAATCCACACTAAATGAACCTAGAGGATTATTTTAGGGTATAGTCCAGGTGTTATCCACTTTTTATACACATCACTGGCTACCAACTTGACACACTTGAGCTTCCTTTATGTGGAGACCAGGAGAAGAAGGGAAAGACTGGAGGACAGCTGAATCTCATCTTCACGTTGGGCTGAGATGTGGTTGCAGTATGCAACTCCTACCAGGGAGCACAACAACATTTGTGTATCTATTTATTTAAGCATAGTTTAAAAAGCTCATTATTTCTAATTTCTGATATGGATTTTGAGGGAACCTCCACAGTGAGAAATACTTTTGGGTGAGCAGAAATGTTTTTATTTTTATGACTTATAGTAGTTGTTTCCTCTATTTTATTAATTATAACCTGTGTTCATTATAGTAATACTACATGTAAGAAGAAAGTATATCCTAGACACAGCATAGAAAAAAATGTTTTAATATTAACCTTGAGGGTCAAAATCTGTTATGAATTATTAGATCGTCTTTACTCAAGTCTGATTCTGGATCTCTAACACTTAGCTGTCTCCCATTATTAATGTTTAAAGTGACTGAAAGATATTATTGAGAATTCCAGACAAATTTCACAATGTTATGACAGTTCTCATACTACCTGTGAGAGCTCTGAGAGCTCCCACTACAGGAGCTTACGTAAAGCACCAATCCATGGAATGTTGGGATTATGTGAGCATCTCATCTATTTAAAAAGAAAATACTTCTAGTCTTAGTATTTGCAGTTTAAAAAAAAAAAAAAAAAAAGCCTGGAAAACATTCACTAAGTGTTCTTTAGAGAATCAAAAGCCAGAAGATGAACAAACCTTGCCCTGCCTCCTTTCAAAGTGCATTAGAATGAGATTATTTTAGTCAGTCTTCAACTGTGGCAAGAGGTAAAGGGTGTGACTCCTTATTTTGCATGGCCTGGTTCAGAAATATTGCTGAAAAGGATACAATCACATAAACCCATTTTAAACCTATTTCTGCATTGTAGCATCCTGGCTCCATTCCGCCTCAATGTATCTTACAATGCAGATGTGCTACAGCACAACATATATTACAGATTTTAGTCAGTCTTCAACTGTGGCAAGAGGTAAAGGGTGTGACTCCTTATTTTGCATGGCCTGGTTCAGAAATATTGCTGAAAAGGATACAATCACATAAACCCATTTTAAACCTATTTCTGCATTGTAGCATCCTGGCTCCATTCCGCCTCAATGTATCTTACAATGCAGATGTGCTACAGCACAACATATATTACAGTTTATTTTGTGACATAAACAGAAGTAGGGTCTTCCAGCAGCAGCAAATTATAGACGAGGCATATCATCAGAAGCCCCATGGTCAGAGCACTCACACAGGACACCAGAGCTTCAGTAGTATGACTAGTCTATACTTCTGTGTGAATTTGAACTTCTACTTCCCAGGGAAGTGTCCTAACAGTCTTAGGAAAAACCCTGAAACTCGCAGTGAATTCAGTGGTTTTTCCTCCATAATTTTTTAAACAAACTAGAATTCTGTGAATTTCACTGAAAGACTAACATCCTAGCTCAACTTCTTTGTCTGTGTACATAAAATTCTTCACATTATTGAGAAGCTTTAGAAACCGCACACTTTCATGCATAGTTTCTGTGCAGTGGTAAGAAGGGTGAGTCAATTCAGAAATTTGTATTACATTAACTCTGCACTTTAGCCTTAAAATCTGCGAGTCACAAGGCATCCCTCCTCATTTTCTTTCCTTATGCAAGCAGTGCCAGTTGCTGATTTTACATAGCTTCCATGGCCTAGAGACACGGTCTGAATCATCAAGAGAGACTGAACGCCAAACTCGGCAAGTCTGAAGTAAATGAGATGAAAAAGGAAGGAATCTATATGATAAATCTGTTTTAATTGCAGTAATCTTAAGATTTTTTTTTGCAATTTTATCAGTGAACTCTGAAATTTTATTAGACTGTGTCAAACTGAAAGCTTCCATTTTGACTGACCTTGTCTGCCTGTATTTTCTCTACCTCTGTCTTGGACTGAAGCCCTAAGTACTGGCACAAAGCTAATAATAGAAGATATTTGACAAGAATGCGTTTAAATGAAACACCCTTCCACAAAAGTGATTGTAATTCAGAGCAAACTGGTTTTCCAAATCCAAATGCTCAAGTAACTAAGCAACTGACTAATTAACTGGATTACTTGGAGGAGGAGTTACATCAACCAACAATACTGATCAAGTACTCCTCTGACAAAGGCAGCTAGAGGTTACTGCAGCCAGAAAGAAATAATTTTTTTAAAAAATACTTACATAAGGAGAAACAAATATAAAGAAACATACACATGCATTCTCTGTTTTCTCTGAGTTCATAATCTAAAATACAGATAAAAACAGCAGGATTATGGGCTCTGTCCTAATCCCCAAGAATGTTCCCGATCATCAGAAAAATAAAGCAAGGAAGAGCATACAGAAGAATTTATTATTGTGTTTAGTTTTATGTCTCTCATGACATCTATGTAATGTCAATGTTATAACAGAATCCAATGCCAAGTTTGGGCATGCTGTTCTAGACCCATGACATGTACCTGAAGGGTTAAACGGTTAATCCAAACCACAGATGAATGAGGTTTGAAAAATGATTCAGCGCTGCCATAGCCTAGATAAGGAAGCTGTATTATCAGCATGTATTTCTGGGAAAGGAATTACTATGAACTTGACTACATTTATACCTGAAAAATAAACAACGCCTGGGAACATGCTCAGGTGAAATGGAACCAAATTCTGTCTAATGTTAAACCACTATCAGGTAGTCTTTGATTGCTTTTGGCCCATGCCAAATAATACACTTAGAAACAAGTCACAGGAACATTTCAGGAATTAGCTCGTGTAAGTGGTCATTCCTAAGAGGCAGGATTCAACAGAATGGTCCTAGCTATGCTTAATTTCTTAACACAGAACTAGTCTTTATGTCCATTAAAAATCCGTAAGGGGCAAAACAAGAAATAGAAGTGAAGTTCACTAAAGTCCACGGAGAAGAAAAATTGCACTTCTTCTGTAAATCTATCCTGGAAGCCTGTTGAGGAATGCTGCACGAAGGAAGCATGTTAAGAGCTTTATTTTTTGGTTTTTTATTTACTTTCCAAAGAACTTTTGATTTCAAGAACAGTCAATTTACCTGTCCTCATCAGAAACAGATGTTAAAGCAGACACAGTATTGTAAAGGTGTCAGGTAATGTATGCTACTGAATGTACATAACATAATGTCAAGTTTTATTTAAAAACACCCATCACCTTCCAATTTTGAATCACAAACAATAAACTATATGGCAACAAAAAGAAAATTAACTCTTCGTTCAGACTGGATCCTGAGGAAATTCACCAATGATGTTCCCCATCTCAATTTTCACACTGAATAATTAAATTTAAAAAACATGAATGTTTTCGAACAATAATCTATCACCGTTTAAAAAAAATTAACACAGAAGTATCACCTAAAAAACATATGTAAAAAGTACGTGATAACAGGCCCTAGCCAAAATGTCTTTTTCTTCCCACAAACAGTATTTCATAGGTTTTTTTCAACAAACAAAACCAAATGAAGAGGAGTTCTTCGTAAGTATTCTTCAAGGTAAGGGTTCTAACGGAAGGACTTTCTAATTGTATTTCTCATCACTTCTGAGCACAGTTAAGGAAATAGTAGGAAGGAAGACTTAGATACTGTTATTTTCTTAATATGAACAACAAAATAAAGCAAAATCAAGGGCAAAATGATAAGTAAAGGCCATAGTTTTGAAATGGCAGCCCCATATGCACATGACTGCATGGTAACAGTGATCAATCTTGTCTAACTGGCCTTTCCTGGAGAACCCAGCGGAGATATTTTATATGGACTTGTGTCAGAGAGGTTTGTGCCCTCATTTTACCAGGAGAAAGGAAAGATATTTAAAAAATTGTCTCCCATATTAGACATTATCCCTGTGTCTTATATACCTTTTGATCCTATTTCCCTGATAGTAATGGTTTCTAACACCAAGAACACAACCCAAGATTCTTGGCACTAGAAGTATACTGCTGTTCACTGGTGAGATTAGGGAAGAGAAAGGTGTTCTGTTTCCTTGGGAACTTTGAAAAATTAGCTTGACTAAAACTCTTCCAGCATAGAGTTCATTACAGCTAAAACTAAAATTCATGTTAATTGTGTAATATGTCAAAAGGGCCAAAACGGAAGAGATCATTGTTTGTTGCATTCAGCAAGGAAGTGAAGACTGATCTTTATGCCCCGTGCATTCCTGATCAAACCTAGGGAGCAAAAATTCTTCCTAAATATTCTCACAAATTATATCTGAGAATGCAGAATTCATGACTTCATGAATAAAAGGTATTTAAAGATAAGTATTTCCAAAAGTACACAAAGTAACCCAGCAGACGATATTAAGCAAAGATGGTATCAAGATCAAAAGCATTTCCATGGCCTCATCAAGAGTCTCTTAAATTCAGTGAGATTTTTTTTCCATAGTTGACAGCCCATCATGGATCAAGCTCTTAATGTATCAACATATACTGTACTTACCCATATAGCTTTCCATACCCAAACTTCCTCTGAACCCAACAGAACTGAAGTGTGTATGCCGGGACAGGGAGATGCAGCTGTCATTGCCTAAGATTATCACAGCCATCTGTCTTTTTTTTACTGTTCATTAGGCATACAGTAAATCTTACCTTATCAAGTTCATCAGAAATAGCAATGCCTGAAAACAAAACAGATTAAAAAAAAAAAAAAGAAGATTTAGAAACATTCTTTCTATGTATGTCTTTTCCTACAGTAAGTAAAAGTAAGGTTTAATCTGAAAAGTTACATATTGTTCTCTGCACACTGCTGTACCATACAATGTATCATACTTTGTTCCATTAGTGAAATTGCCTGGAAACAATATACTCTTAACTTTCCTCAGCTGCAATATTATCAAAATGAGTTTTCAAAAAACTATGGAAATGGAAACAGCAGATGTGCCAGTAAAGTGACAATGAGCTTAAGTATACTTCTACCTGCTCTCTAAAATTAAACCAGCAACATAATATTTACATATGGACACATTATTATGCAAATCTCGCCCTGACCAGCATGCATAACATCATGCTGCAATTACAGGGCAACATGGACATGACTCTTCTCTCTTTCTCCATGGTTCAATGTAGAAATGATTCTGTGAAAACAGATGGAATTTAAAGAGAGGAAAATCTCAAAGTAAAATTTCACAATAGAATGCAAAACAGTTTTTCTAAACCCTCTGAACAAGAACTTGTTTATTTGCTCTTGTCCCTTCTGCTGATGCCTGCCTGAGGCTTTCCTATGCTTCCTTCCATCATGTCATCTAACTCTTTTAATTATGACTATCCTGTAGCACATTAAATATGCACAGCTGGTCTCAGAATTTTTAACACATCTACATGCCTCAGTCATATCACATGGAGAGATCAAGTAATCATACATTTAATGTTATCACATTGAAAATTCTGACTTATTGAAAGCAAAGTGTTTCCCAAGTTCCTATGAGGTTCGGTAAGAAACATTTCCAGGTTAGAACTTCAATTCAAAAACCAAAGAAAAGCATCTCCTGGTGGTGAAAATAGAGAAGTACCCAGGCATAGGAAGAACACACATCTGAAAGTTTTTTTCTATTCATACCATGTTATCAAGACAACTTCTTCCAAGGAATGCAAGAGATGATATTGCGAAATATGTAGTATCAGCTGAGTGGAGAGTTATTCTTTCTCAGATCACACTAAAGATTGCAGCAGTATAAGCTTATTTCCATGACATTTTTATTTCTTACTATTTGGTATACAGTAACTACAGGAGTTCTTTGGCTTTTTACTGTGCTTTTAATCATTAACTTTATATGGCTAATTCTCAGTTTAGATGACTTCCTTATATCAATTTTTTGTTTTAAAAACAGTGAAGTGCTAGGAGAACTGCAATTACAATTTTAAGACCTGATCAACACATAAGAAATATGCCAGGAGTTAACAGAATATTTTCAGTCATTCAGTAGTTATAAAGTAGATTGTATTGAAAAAGATCCATTTTGCCTAACCCTTCTATCCCTCACAGCAATTAACCTGTTTTAGTAACTTCAAACTTTTATTTGGCCCAGACACTACACTAACGTCCATACAGTATAATCAGCAGGTTGCACCAACCTGAATCATTCAACAGGACTTTAATCCGTTATGAATTTCTTGAATCCCCAATGGGCATTTACTAGAGAGAAGATAACTGCTCTCTTGGAGGTAGTAAAAACATAGTTCAAGGTTCTCTTTATCTCAGCTTTGAAAACCTGATTTCCATCAACCAGCTCTCCATCACATTGGATGTATTTTGCATAACCAAGGTCAATCCATTTTACAACCACAAATGCTCCCTCTAAACAGACAAACTACCTCTTCTCAGCAATTTTCCATAATGTTAAGACGGTTCATTTTGTTTTGATAGGGGTTTATTTCCTCAGATTGGAGGTTGGCCCCCTTTTTTTCTGCTTTCACAGATGCTCTGTGAATGGTTCTTTGAAACCTGGGAGCAGATGCAAGAGCAATTTTTCCCTGTGCTGACTCAGTTGTTAAAAATATTATTTTCAAGTATAGCAAAAGAAACTACAAAAGGCAACCCTGCCATTTCCAGGACTCCATTCCAAAAAATGCCAAATGCTTTTACTATTCAACTGCCTATGTTGCTAATCAAAGATCAGTACTGAAAGTACCAAATAGCAAATGGGAAAAACTGTATATACAACTGTATGCCTCACACAAAAAGCTCCACTAACTTCTCTGATTAAGTTACACATAAGCATATAAAATTTGAAAAACACCATAATCTAAAGGAGTGCTTTTAGTAAAATGCTTTTTTTGTATAAGTCCCATTGCTTCCCCAGAATTTACTCTGAATTTAGAGATGACTAAGATGAGTAATTGAATTGACCAGAACGCCTCAAATTTCTTCTTTACTAAGTTGCAAACAGTAGCAAGACACCAAAACTAACTGTATTTCTTAGATAAGCATGTAGAGAGAGAGCAGTTTCTGAAGACATCTTGCCAAAATAAAATTTTAAAAGTTTAGAAAACTTGTCTTTGCAATCACAGAATTAAACCTGCAAACTCTTTTTACCTCTCTCTCTCTGATGTGGTATCAAGAGAAAAGAAAAAGGATTCTTGGGAAGAAATTTCTTAAGGAGCTTGTTACAGTAATCTTGGCATGGTGATTCTTCTGGAGGCAGGATTTACCATACTGTCAGTCATACAGATCTTTATGTTATGGCTTCACAGCTCCATTAACATTAACAAAACTCCATTAGTTACTGATAATACAACTCCGTTAGCAGAGACCGGGATAAATTAACCCATAAAAAGGTGGGTGTAAAAAAGCTTCTCATTTTCTTCCAAGACACTACTGCACCACACACTTAGTGTGTGCCCACTCTTACCAATTTTCTTTTGCAGTTTCCAAACTGACAAAATATCATGGCTGAAGTTGAGAGGAGGGGGGACTTGTACCCTGTGTGTAATAGACAGAAAATCACAACAACGACGTGATTTTTTGGGTGCACATCTCAGGTGGAATAATATGTACTCCAGTTTTGACAAAGTAGTTCCTCAAAAAATTAAAACCATTGCATATATTACCATAAAGTTAAAAAAAATAAAACACCTTAATCCAGAATCCTGAGAACACAACTAGAGATAGTCATAATTATCATACAAGAGTGTTTAGGATTTCTGTTATTCTCTTAACCCTTAGCATACTCCTGACTTTTTGGTAGTCTAATAGGTTACTGTCAGTTATTTTATTTTCAAGTAATCCATGGACAATTTAAAAAACTTGAATTTCTACAAAGTAATGGTAACAATGGTTGCTATCTCTGGTTCATGTAATTGCTAATATCCAGATACCAGTGTTTTCAAAAAGAAAACTCTCCTTTCGCTTATTTTGTATACTTGACAACAAATAATTGCTTGTTCTCTCTGTACCTTGTGTAGTTTGTTTTTTTTTTTCTCTGTGGCTTTCATACAATGTAAAAGAGGAAAAAAATATTTTTTATATATTCTAAATAGGAAAATGTCATTGTAAAAATCACAGAGTACTAGAGACAAAGGGACAGCCCATTCCATGAAACTACTTTAAATGGAAACAGCAATGTTTCAGGTTTAAGCAAAACATCCATAAGTGTAGCCAAAATGTCCATACACTAAAAGCCTTCCACCTAACAATTTAGTCACTTCCTCAAACTGCAGCCATTTTTCATCACAACTTAATCCTAATCACCAAAAAGCTCTAATACCAGAAAAACTGACACACCTAGTTTGTTCAAGCTTGAATCCAATGGCTTTGTCATAATGTAAGTTATTAGGAACAACTGTTTCTGACTTCTCTCAGCTTAAAGCATTTAAAGCCTGACTCTGGGTGATGGTGAACGTAGAGGACGGAAGTTTTAGGGCTGCTTCATCATTGCTCTGCTTCAAGTCACTGAGCAGTGGATGAGAAGGGGACTGTTGAAAAAGTTCTCCTCCCTTTGTTGGGGAAGGCCTTCTGATGTCAAAGGCAAATCCTTCAGAAATAAAGGAGTATGGTTTTACCCTTTCTCTCACAGCAGCTGTTTCTCACAGACATTTGCTATAGCTTTACATCATACTATGACTGACAACTATACAATAGTCCTACCATTCTTACTTTTTGCAATGAGTAAGTGCAGTGTTCAGACTAACGGAGTGAGAGGTTTGCTTGCCATCATCAGCTAAGGCTCACAGACAAGGTTTACAGTGGGAATTAGTCAGGCATGTAACTGCCAATTTTACGTCTTTAAAAATCCTCCCTTTTACAAGTAATTAAGGGTGCTGAATTTTGATCAGGCATCACAAGTACCCAGCCCACTCAGCTGTCTGGTGAATCACACAGACAGATTCAGGGCACTTGTTTCTACTTTTGAGTGTAATGACCCTCTGTGCTGTAAGGGTACTGGAACAATAAAGTAATTGCTCTGAACATGCTTTCACGGTCCTTCAGAAATGCTCCACAGCCACAACTACTGCCATCTCTGATCAGCAACAAATCTGGAGTGGGGCTGTTCATGCTAGCACAGCCTCTCTCAACTAGAACACTTTCATCCTGTCAATAGCTTGGTTTTTGAAGAGAACTGGAAGAAAAATGTACTCTCTGATTGCAAGAAAGGTCTGGCACACTAGGATTAAATGAAACATGACTACCAGACAGTGTAATAACAATGCAACTTATCAATACTTATTATACTTTAATTACTATTATCACGCCTACATTAAGCAGATTGCCCAAAAGCATATCTCACTGTATTAGCCATGTACCTTATGGCTTTTTTATACCTAAAATGTTAAACCAGTTGTTTGTCATGCCTTTTTTAAAAATTAGCATGGATTATTAAATTGCCCATACATATACAAAACCATTCTTTACATGGTTATCTTGGATTTCTGTTCCCCATCTTCTATCCCTTTGGCAATCTGCAGAAGCACAATGGTAAGAATGGAGAAATAATGATGATGATCATTACAGCATTATAGCATCTTCTTTGATGAAAAAGCCACCTCCCAAAATGTATCTGCACCATGTTTTAATGAAATAAATTCCCTTTTGAGTCTAGAATGAGTATCTTCCACAGTAAAGAAAAAACTTTCTGCTTAGGACATTCTGCTTAATTTCTAGCTTACCAGGAAATGAACTTTC